CAGACCCTAAACCAGCTGAGCCACCCTGGCGCCCCAATGTCTGTGCTTTTCATGCATATTATAATAAATTTAAAAATGAGTGAATTGAGTTTTTCCATTAATGTTATGGTAACTTTCAAATGTTGCTAGATAATCTTAACAAACATCATTTTTTATACTTCAATAATCATTTGCTTCTGCCATACTTTAGCATTTCCTTGATAATCTCTGATGTTCAGTCTTTTTCTGTCATTAACCATATTCCTGACTGGACAGTTAATTACAGGAAAATAAATATGTAGGTCAAACCATAAAGGGATTTTCAGATAATAACTGTGTTACATTTAAATTCACATGGAATTATGTTTTTTAAAAAGCTGGGTCTTGAAGATGGTAGTGGCTTTCATCAGCACATTCTACATGGACTTATCCACTTAATCTGTTCTTGGCTTACAAATAAGATTTGACCTACTCTTATTGTGATGGTACAGGTTTTTCTTATAGAAAATGAAATTTGAAATTTTGAGTAGTAGTAGTGACAGAGTTTGGGAGTGGGAAGTCTGGGAGGTGGGAATGGAGGAAGGGGTTACAGGGAGAAAAAAAATATGAATATACATTATATCAAGTGGATAAGTGCTTTGAAGAAAGATATAGCAGGATATGGAGTGATGAAAGGGGGTCAAATTTAGATATTTTAAAAATATGAAAATATTGGTTGAAATATACAAAAGAATAGGAAGTACTTCAACAATATGAAGATATAGTGAAGAAAATACTTTATTAAATGTGCTTTTTGTTTGTGATATTCTATGTGAGGCTATTTATTATATAAATTTAAGTTAAGCTTGTTAGTACCCAAACTTACTTTATTATTATTTTTTATAGCTAGTTTTGGTTAGAGGTGTTGATTTGAAGTATTTTATTGATTCTGCCTTATTCTGCATCACACTTTTTTTAATGTTTTATTTTGATTTATTAACGTTTTATTTCTGAGACAGACACACACACACACACACACACACAGCATGAGCAGGGTAGGGTCAGAGAGAGAGGGAGACACAGAATCCGAAACAGGCTCCAGGCTCTGAGCTAGCTGTCAGCACAGAGCCTGACGCAGGGCTCGAACCCGTGAACCGTGAGATCATGACCAGAGCCAAAGTCACCGACGCTCAACCGACTGAACCACCCAGGTGCCCCCTTTTTAATGTTTTAAATGTCTGTTATTTTTGAAAGAGAGAGAGATACAGAGACAGTGTGAATGAGGAAGGGGCAGAGAGAGAGGGAAACACAGAATCTGAAGCAGCCTCCAGGCTCTGAACTGTCACCACAGAGCCAGACATGGGGCTTGAACTCATGGACCACAAGATGATGGACTGAGCCGAAGTCAGACACTAAATCAACTGAGCCACCCAGGCACCTCTCTGCATCACAATCTTGATTCACTATTACGATATTAATTACTTGGATCCGTGTAGTTAGTCCATGGACCAACAAAAATGCCTAAAATTGATTTTACAAAGGTGAAACAAACATACTGCATTCAGTTAGTAAAGGTAAATTATTTTAAAAGCATAGAGAGATAAAAAATAAACCATTTGCTGGTGTCTGTATTATCAGCTTTTATAACTAAAATTATTTTCAAGTGTTGATGATTACAGCTTTGTAGTGCAACTTAACGTCCAGAATTGTGATGCCTCCAACTTTGGTTTTCATTTTTAACATTACTTTGGCAATTTGGGGCATTTCTGCTTCCATACAAATATCAGAATTGTTTGCTCTAGCTCTGGGAAGAATTCTGGTATTATTTTGATAGGTATTGCATTGACTGTAGATTGCTTTGGGTAGTATTGACATTTTAACAACATTTGTTCTTCCAACCCATGAGCATGGAATGTTTTTCCATTTCTTTGTGACTTCAATTTCTTTAGTAAGCTTTCTGTAGTTTTTAGTGTATAGATTTTTTAACCTCTGGTTATTCCTAGGATTTTTTTATGGTTTTTGGTGCAATTGTAACTGGGATTGAGTCCTTGATTACTATTTCTTCTGCTGCTTTATTGGTCTGTAGAAATACCACAGATTTCTATACATTGATTTTATATCCTGCAACTTTGCTGAATTCACATATCAGTTCTAGCAGTTTTTTGGTGGACGCTTGGGTTTTCCACTAGACTGTCATGTCATCTGGGAAGAGTAAAAGTTTGACTTCTTCCTTGCCTATTTGAATGCCTTTTATTTCTTTTAGTTGTCTGATTACTGAAGCTAAGATTTCCAACACTATGTTGAGCAACCAGGGTGAGAGGTCTTTTAGTTGTGGGTCTTTCGTACGTGGCCTTTATGATCTTGAGGTATGTTCCTATTTTCTTGAGGGTTTTTATCAAGAGGATGCTGTATTTTGTCAAATACTTTTTCTGCATATACTGAGAGGATCATGTGATTCTTATCCTTTCTTTTATTAATGTAATATGTTGATTGATTTGCCGATATTGAACTAGCCCTGCATCCAGGAAATAATCCCACTCAATCATGGTGAGTATTTCTTTTAATGTCTTATTGGATTCGATTTGCTAGACTTTGTTGAGAATTTTTTCATCCATGTTCCATCTGGGAATTTGGTTTGTAGTTCTCCTTTTTTAGTGGGGTTTTTGTCTGGTTTTGGAGTAAAGGTAATGCTGTCCTCATAGAATGAGATTGGAAATTTTCTTTAAATTTCTATTTTTTGGAATTGCTTCAAGAATAAGGTAAGGTATTAACTTTTCTTTAAATGTTTGGTAGAATTCCCTTGGAAAGCCATTAGGCCCTGGACTTTTGCTTTTTGGGAAATTTTTGATTACTGATTCAATTTCTTTACAGGTTATGGGTCTGTTCAAATTTTCTATTCTTCCTGTTTCAGTTTGGTAGTTTATATATTTCTAGGAACTTCTTCTAACTTGCCCAATATGTTGGCATATAATTGCTCATAATTTTCCCTTGTTATTATTTGTATTTCTGTGGTATTGGTTGTGATCTCCTCTTTAATTCGTGATTTTATTTGGATCCTTTCCTTTTTGATCAAACTGACTAGGGATTTATCAGTTTTGCTAATTCTTTCAAAGAACCTGGTTTTGTCGATATGTTCTGTGTTTTGTTTTTTTTTAAATATTGATTTCTGCTCTAGTCTTTATTAATAATTTCCCTTCTGCTGGTTTTGGGATAAAGAAGATATCTCACACACACACACACACACACACACACACACACACACACACACAGGAAAATTACTCCGCAATCAAAAAGAATGAAATCTTGCCATTTCCAACAATGTGGATAGAACTAGAGTGTATTATGCTAAGTCAAATTATTATCATATGATTTCTTTCATATGTGGAATTTAAGAAATAAAACAGATGAACATAGGGGAGGGGAAGGAAAAAATTAAGATAAAAAGAGAGAGGGAGGCAAACCACAAGAGACTTTCAAATACAGAGAACAAATTGAGGGTTGCTGGAGGGGTTTTGGGTAGGGGAATGGGCGAAATGGGTGATGGGCATTAGAGAGGACACTTATTGGAATGAGCACTGGGTGTTATATGTAAGTGATGAATTACTAAATTCTACTCCTGAAACCGTTATTACGCTACATGTTAACTACCTTGGGTTTAAGTAAATTTTAAAAATTAAAAAAATATTCTCAAGTGTATTTTATTCAATAATCATTGATAAATTTTTCTGCGTATAAAATAGGTAACTTTCTTTAAAGAAAATAATGTTTATATAGGTAAATGGAAAAGTGATAAGTATATATTTGACCCCTGAACAATACAAGCGTCAGGGGTACCAAACCCCCCTGTACGGTCTAAAATCTGTGTATAACTTTTGACTTCCTGGAAACTTAACTATTTATGGCCTACTGTTGATGAGAAGCCTTACCCATAACATAAACAGCCGATTAATACATTGTGTGTGTGTGTGTGTGTCTGTTCTGTCTGTCTTACTGGATGATCTTGACATTTATTTTATAATATGAGTATTTTTCATAGTAGTATAATTAGCATACAGCATTATAGTAGTTTCAGGTGTATGACATAATGATTCAATATATGTTGTATGCATATTATATACTCATAATAAAGTAAGCTACAGAAAAACTGTTAAAATCATAAAGGACATACATTCATAGTACTCTATTTTAAAAAAATTATGTATAAGTGAATCTTTAAAAAAATCTATGTATAACACAGTTCAAACATGTGTTGTTTAAGGGTCAACTACTATGTTTTGTGAATCAGTAAATAAGAATTTCAAGTCATTAAAATTGTTAGACAAGATTATCACACACACAAATTATTTCAGACAAAGGAAGTGTTTTCAAATGGTCTTTTTCTTGCTGTCTCTCCCTCTTTTGGAACATTATAAGTAATGGACTATGGAAAACTTTATTTTACAAAGTGTCTGATTACTTAGGATCTAGTCAATAGTATATTTGTACAAAATTCCTGTTGGGACTTACAACTGTAAGGAAGAAACTCCAAATGATACTATTGAAGTGGTTCACATTCAGTATTATTTTGTAATATTTTCAGAACTAGTATTTTCATGAAGATAACTTCTTCCTGAAGATACAATTGATGTGAAGATTTTAGAATCTGTTTTTAAAAATAAGATATGCATTTGAGAGTAGGAATTATCCTTTTCCATTTGTTTCTTTTTTTTTGTTTTGTTTCTTTTTGAGAGAGAGAATGTACAAGCGGGGGTGAGGCAGGAGAGGGGTGGACAGAGGCTCCAAAGCAGGCTCTGCCCTGACAGCTGCAAACCTGATGTGGGCCTTGAACTGACCAACTGAACCATGAGATCATACCTGAGCCGAAGTGGGACACTCAACTGACTGAGACACCCAGGCACCACCCCTTTTCCTTTCATTTGTAGTCCAGTGTAAAGCCTGACAATTTTCCGAAGAATTTATTAATACGTCAATAAACAAATATTTAGGAAATTTCCAAGTTGTTATTTCCTATGTTAATGCTACTTTTTTTTTTTCTTTTCCAGTTTACAGATATGATCCAGACCTGCACATGAATGACTTTTGGTTAGTCAGAGTGAACATTCAATAATGAGTGGTGCAGCTTTGGGACTTGAGATTGTTTTTGTCTTTTTTCTGGCATTGTTCCTACTTCATCGATATGGAGACTTTAAGAAGCAGCATAGACTTGTAATTATTGGAACACTGCTAGCTTGGTATCTCTGCTTTCTTATCGTCTTCATACTGCCTCTGGATGTTAGTACGGTAAGAGGTGAAACTGAGTTTGGCAATTTGAAAGGCAATTGGAATCATACAGCATGTTTGAGATATGTTAGTTCTTAAAACAGCTAAATTATATAAGGTCATGCTTAACATTTCGTATTTAAATCTTACTGTGTGAATTTGATCATTAAAAAGCATAGCCAGGAAGGTCACTGGTGGATAGGTTGATAACCCCCAGTATCCCTTAATTGCTTGGTAACCTTTTGATTTTCATTTTTAAACCATGTGTTCATTGGTTTAGACAATATACAACCGGTGTAAGCATGCCGCTGCAAACTCAAGCCCTCCTGAGAACAGCAACATTACAGGATTCCACGCAACTGCTACCCCGGTTCCAAGGTATTTTTTCCTTTTTTTTTTTTAATAGTATAGAAGAAAAATTGTTTTAAAATTGTCAGTTCTTACCATTTGGGATTTAAATTTATAAAAGTTGACCCTCATTCTCTACTCTCCCCCCCCACCCCTCCCCACTCCCATCCTTTGCTAGTAGACTTTTAATTACTTTGTATTCTATTTAAATTTAAATCTTAGCAAATTTTACATATTTATTGGTGCCTTGTCTTAAATAAGTTTTACATATTTATTGGTACACAAGGCCTCTTAGTAAATGTTAAGCAGAAACTTGGAGAAGACCTGATGTTTTTAGTCCTGGTTCTGCCTCTTACTAAGAATGTGACTTCCAACAGGTTTTTGCTTCTCAGCCTCTCTCTGGTCTAAAAAAAATTCATTTTCTCTTTAGCCTGATTTACAAAGTTGTATAAAGGACAAGGGGATCATTCTATATGTAGGATGTTCTTTTCATAGCATGCATCTTTTGAAACCATTATAGTTTCAGACTGAGAATGAATAAAGTTTAAGTTATCGAAAGGTTATGTTAAATCCATATCAAACTTCCAAGTAAATAGCTTTAATAAATGTTGACTATAGCTTTTACCAATACCCTTAGTAGTGTTTGCATGCTTCTTTATGCAGCTTTTATTATTTTTTTAACCTAACCTGAATAAGGGTAAATTTAAAATGTAGATGTTACTCCCCTTTAAAACACATTAAAAATTGAATATGGATCAGCATCAGTTGTGAATCGTTGGAAGCCCCTGGACTAAACAGTATCCTTAGAGTCTGGGAAGACTATTCATGAAAAATACACATATGTTCAGAAAATTCAAACAGAACTGTATATACAGATACTGGCATCTCTGTCGATGGGGTCTGTGTCACAGTGACTGATTAGTTAGGGCTTCAGTTACCAGGAGTTAATCACCTAATTTCTTTCACCTTCCTGTTCCCTCTCCCCAGAAAATAACCAGCCCCACAAAATGGAGTGTGTATTTTAAAGACTGTCATCAATTTTAAAGGCAGTCAAATCAGAGATTTAGTTTCATGACATATTCATTCACTTTTAAAGACTCAACATTATCAGTGTATTAAGTGAACATTACACCCTCTTTTACTCAACGACTAAAAATACACTGAAAGTTGAAAATTTAAGTGACATTCCTCTCTAGAACAAACTGTTTTGTTCCCTTTATATGTTTTGTTTGTTTTTAGTTTGACAGTCCGCTTTGAATTTTAAATTTTCTATGACATTTTGGAAGCTACAGTTGGTAATTTAATATCTGATTGTAAATGAACTTTGCCATGCACAAGTCAACTGTATAACTTACTTAAGTAGTCATCATTTATTAATTGGCTATAAATTGTTGTTAAACAGCCGACATCCATGTTTCAAGCCATGGAGTTACATTCCTGACGGAATCATGCCAATTTTCTGGAGGGTAGTATATTGGACATCACAATTTTTAACATGGTAAGTGATAGTGAAGGATAAAAAGGTTTTAAATTTTGGCTAAAGTAAAAAGAAAAAGATTATACTTTCTCCGTGAACTTTCATGTTTTAGGGTTTATTCAAGTGTTGCTTTTTTTTTTCTTAAATCTGTATATTCTCCTTTTCTGCTCATTCACTTCTCTCCCATCTTAAAACAAATGAAAAGAAAAACCCCCAACAAACAAGAAACAGAATACAGAAACCAAAATTTTTCCTTGTCACCATTCCTTCTAGCTATAGCCTTCTCTCTTGACCTTCTTCCATTCAGCCTTCCTCCAGTCTCAGTTTTACATGAAACTGCCCTTGCTGAGGTCATCATTGTCTCCTGCTTAGCCCAACCTGCTGAATTTCCTTTATGGATTCTATTTCTGTGGCCCATTTCCCAAATGTTAGCATTCCCTAGGGTCTCATTTTCGGTCATCTTATTACCTGAGCCTCTCTGTATAGCTTTAATTGTAGCCATAGTTGGATGCATTCCAAGTGTTTCTTTCTACCCACAATAGCTTTGTCTTTCTGCCAGGCTCCACACTCACATTATTCACTGCGTACTGAGCATTTTAGATATTCTGCAGGTAACTAAGCTATAAAACTGAAGTTAGTGAATATTGCAATAGAAAAATCACACGGCACAGTAGGGTAGTGCCCATATAAATTCATGTTCATCTAACTTGTTCAGGCTCCAGCATTGCCAGACTACTTCTGTGTGTCTCTAGTCTGCTCGCTCTTTGTTCTCCACTGCAAATGCTTCTAATCACTACAGACCTCAAACCTCTAATGTTCCCTTTGTGGCTCTTTCTCTCTCTTTTACATCCTAGAATCAATCACCTTTTCTCCTTGCAGAGTACTTTACTTTCTGCTTCACAGTAAAAATAGAAGTCGTCAGATGACAGCTCTTTCAGCTTCCCACCAGCACACCTCCCTACTTATCCTTTTCCTCTCAAAGAATGGGAGAGTCAGCGTCAAAGTGATTTCAAAGTGAAATCCCTCTTCCTGAAATATGGACCCATCTCCTTCAGCTCTTATTCCTTTACTCACAGTTCCAGTTTCAACAAAGCATACACAATTCTCTCATCCTTTTAAAAAAGAAAAGAAAAAAAACCCCAAATCTCTAAAATGCAACCCTTTCCAACTTCCTAGCTTCTAACCTCATTGATCTACTCATCACAGCTTAGTTTCGGGAGGGTAGCTTTTTTTTTTTGAGAGAGCGAGCACTTGGACCTTAGCAAGTGAGGGAGGGGCAGAGAGAGAGGGAGACAGAGGATCCAAAGCAGGCCCTGCCCTGACAACAGAAAGCCTGACTCGAGGCTTGAACTCAGGACCCGAGACATCATGCCCTGAGCTGAAGCCAGATCCTTAACTGACAGAACCAGCCAGGCGCCCCTCAGGGTGGGGGAGACTTTTTTATTGAAGTATAAATTAATACAGAAGAGTGCACAAATTGTGTTCAGTGTGACTTTTTTCACAGTGAGTACACCGATATAATCGGCACTCCTATGATATTATAGAATATTAATAATGTTCATGCTAAGTCTAGAAGATTCCCTCATGCCCCTTTCTCAGTCATACGCTCCCCAAAGGTAGCCATGATCCCAACTTCCATCACTATAGATTAATTTTACCTATTTTTGAGCTTTATAAACATGGAATTAATATGGTATATTTTTTGCATCTCTTCTTTTGCTCACATATTTGGAAAATTCATCTGTGTCTTATTGTGTGTGCCAGTCTTCTCTGCTTTGTCATTTCTGTAAAAACTTCCATTATATGAATATACTGCAGTTTATCCTACCCAGCCAAATTTTTTAAATGAAATGTCTACATTTATTGTCTTCATTTCCTCATTGCTTACTCTTTCCTCACCGCATTGAACCCTATTTTCTAGCCCCACTTCTCCATTCACACATACAGGTTCTTAATTTACTTGACTTCTTGGCAGCATTTGATTATTGTTTTCTCTCTCCAGTTTGAAACACTCTCTTCTTCTGGTTTTTCCTCTGTATGATCCTTGGTTTTCTTCCATATCTCTCTACTGTTCTGTCTCCGTCTCCTTTACTGGCTTCTCCTCCCAGTTCTCTACCTCTCCTTTAAAAGATGATCTTTCCAGGGTCAGCCTCGGTTCTTTCCTTCTCATTCTACATATTCACCCTTCCAAATCTCATCTACTGGTGTTATTTCAGAACCACTGATATGGTCATGACTCCTGTATCTGTCTGTATTTCTAATCCTGTCTCCTGAGTGCTGCAGCTGGATAGCTACCTACTTCCTGTGCAGCTCCTTTGGGATGTGTTCTAAGTACCTCAGATCAGTGTATTCACAACCAGTCTTCTCCCCTCCTGCTTCTTACCGTTATCACCACCCCTTGCCCTCTCCCACATAGTCCCAGTTTTGTTCCTTTTAAGTCCGTTCTTCCTGCTGAAGACTTACTGCTCTTTAGAAAACTTAAATTTGATCACATCTCCATTCTTTTGAAGAAAAAGATTCCTCATTGTCTGAATGCAGTCCAGAGTCTTCATAAAACCTTTAAAGGCTTTTTTAGATTTATTGTAAGTCACTCATGACACCGTAGTACTCTCTGGCTCCCAGAAATGTGCTTTGGTCTCCCCAAAATCTAATATTACAAAAATATTCAGTCATCTGTTATAGTTTGTTCAGTATTAATAATCACTCAAAATCATATTTATGAAAAGAACTACAACATTAAAATTGAAATTCACATAATTCTGGTATTTTGGAAATAGACATATCAAGTGTTTCTGTAATTATATTTTTCCCAACCGTCTAGGATTCTGTTACCTTTTATGCAGTCCTATGCAAGATCCGGAGGGTTTTCCATCACCGGGAAGATCAAAACCGCACTGATTGAGAATGCGATCTATTATGGCACCTATTTGCTGATTTTTGGAGCATTTTTAATATATGTAGCTGTAAACCCACATTTGCACTTAGAATGGTAAGAAAAGTTGTTTTCTTAACATTTTTATGTATATTTGTATTTTTAAAAATTTATTTTTATCTCATGGGCGGTTAAAGAGACATCGCACTGAGAAACATATCAAGTTATATGTTTTATAGAATCTCCAAAAAGAACTCCGAATAACTCATATTTCTAAGAAGAAAAAATGGACTGTTTAAATGTAGCTATTAGATGAAGGACTAATGCTTTGTCTAATAGCTATGTGTTAGAAGTATTAACCCTTATGATTTTTTAAATGTTTTTATTTTAATTCCAGTTAGTTAACATACAGTGTAATATTAGTTTCAGGTGTACAATTTTGTACATGACAAAATGACTTTTTTTTTTTTAATGTCTGTTTTTGAGAGAGCCAGAGTGCACATGCAGGCAAGGGGCAGAGAGAGGAGACAGGATCCTAAGTGGGCTCTGTGCTGATGGCAGACAGAACAATGTGGGGCTCCAACTCATGAACCATTAGATCATAACCTGATATGGGGCTCAGACTCCTGCACCGTGAGATCATGACCTGAGCCTAAGTCAGATGCTTAACTGATTGAGCCATCCAGGCATCCTCTAGGTTTCTTTTTCATTAGAGCTTGTGAATATTTTTTCTTTTGTTCTGACTATAGCTTGAGAGCATTTTTCTCTTCAGTGTTAGATTCAGACATTATAATAAAATTGAAATCTGTATTTTATGTGTGAACTATATAATGTTATGTGAAGAAATCTCAAAAATTTAGGAATAGAGTAGTAATGGTAATTCTCACTATTGCATTCCTGAGATTTGTATATGCCTCAACATAAAATTTTTAGGCTTTAAAATTTTTTTTCAGGCTTCTCTTGGTTAATACTGAGTAAGAAAGCACCTAATGAAAAATATCTTTTCTTTGGGAAAAAAGATATAGTTTTCACCATGAACTATCCTAGATTCTAATTTTAACTATAATAGAGCAGTGTTTCCTGAGTTAAAGTCTATTTCTGCAGTCATACTCTAACTTCCTCTTAAAACGCAGACATTATCTGCTGTTGCTAAAAAAGTAGTTGAGGATTGGAAGGTATACTTTTTGTCATGTAAAATCCTAGCCATCCTTTAGGCTGTTTTCTGAAAAACTGTTGAACACTAGTTAGTTTTATTTTATATTTTTGTTGGGAAAACTTATCTCTCATAGCTATCTGCTTCTGTTTTCTCTGTCTCAGGAACCAGCTTCAGACAATTGGAATAGCTGCTGCAAATACATGGGGCCTGTTTCTCCTCGTGTTGTTGTTGGGATACGGTTTGGTAGAAATTCCTCGGTCGTACTGGAATGGAGCAAAAAGAGGTTATCTACTTATGAAAACGTATTTTAAGGCAGCCAAACTGATGACAGAAAAAGCAGATGCAGAAGAGACTTTAGAAGATGTCATGGAGGTAATAAGCAAGTGTATACCTTACAGTCACTGTTGGTTTGTTGCTGTTGTCATTAGCACATTGATGAGCTTCACACTGAAAATTTGGTGATATGCGGTCCTTCAGGGTGTCCCGTCCAATAGGATGGCTTCCTCTTGACCGTTCAGCTTCATGACTTGTCATCTCTACCTTGGAACCCATGGTTTCAGCTATAATATATTTAGAAGTGCAGGATTATGCTTGTCATCTTAGGGTAACCTTGTATGCCCTTCTTTTACCCTTAAAAGTCCCTCCGATTAGATGAGTAATTATATGGTTATCCTGACAGGTCCTCCTTGGTACTCTAGACTCTTAGACATTCAGCAGCCATTGCTCCTGTGAATGAATAAATGAGCAAAAGGATGTGTTTTGTGATTGAAAAATCTAATACTGGCTTTTTGGCATTCCTTCCCTACAAAATGTAAGAACTGTAGCAGAAGACATTGATTCAAAATGTAGGAGTAAGTCTACAGATAGTATTCTATTACATTTCCTTAGGCAGCTACTGGCTGTTATTACATGTTTCAAAAGAAAATAATGTATGTTTGATAATTTTTGTTTATTTCTGATATATTTGGAAGTTTATATTTAAAAATTTGGATTTTTTGAAGAAAATTGGAAAATTTATATTTAGTAATAAAATAATTTTAAAGATAATTTAAATTTGAAAATGTTCCTCTTAAAAGTTCGTACTAAATTCAGTTGTTTCAGATTTGAGGAATATGGATTTCACCAGTTATTCCGTATTCCTTCAAGAAATATAAATCCTGGGGCGCCTGGGTGGCTCAGTCAGTTAAGCGTCCGACTTCGGCTCAGGTCACGATCTCACGGTTTGTAGGTTCGAGCCCTGCGTCATACTCTGTGCTGAGAGCTAGCTCAGAGCCTGGAGCCTGCTTCGGATTCTGTATCTCCCTCTCTCTGACCCTCCCCTGCTCATGTGCTCTCTCTCTCAGAAATAAATTAAAAAAAAAAAACATTTAAAAAAAAGAAATATAAATCTAGTTAATTATGCAAGATCTGGATTTTGCTAGGAGGAATCATCAATAGTGAAGAAAGATCGATTTTGTTGTTGTTTGTTAAGTAGGAACTCTCTACTGAAAAATAGGATGTGGAAAGCTAGAACTGGCATTGGTGTCTTATTATTTTATTTTTATCTTATTTTTTGAGAGAGAGCGCACACATGCAAGCAAGCAGGGGCAGAGGGAGAGGGAGAGAAAGAATCTCATGCAGGGCTCAGCCTCAAAACCGTGAGATCTTGACCTAAGCTGAAGTCAAGAGTTGGACACTGAACCGACTGAGCCACCCAGGTGCCCCAAAAGTTATGAACTTTTGAAGGAGCCTTAGATTTATAACAGATACAGCAAATATCAATAGTTAACTGTTTCTGTACTTATTTTTATGTAATATGACTGAAGAATTTAAAGGAAAAATAGAATATTTTATGGATGATATATGATCAGACTGTATGGTTCATATTCAAACTTGTGCTAACAAGTCAACAAATCGTTAAGGCAATTTGGGAATAGAAAATTGTAATGATGATTCAAGCATCTTTTAAGAACTCAAGTCTTTCTTATCCCTGCCATATTTAGGTTACTCGTTGAACTCAAATAAATCGTTATAAAGGCCTTCTGGAGTACTTTGCTTTTCTTTAGCCTGATCGAGTGCTGCTCAGGCAGGCACTGACTCTCCTTTTCCCTAAGGTCACATGTACTACTTTCAGTTCCTTGAAACTCCTTTTGCACTTCTACATGGAGGCCTTTGTACTGGCTGTCCCACAATTTGGAATATTCCTGCCTCTTCCTTTGATTGGCTGACCTTACTCCTACTCAAGCTTTTTATCTCAGTTTGAATAATCAGTTTATCAGAAAGCCGCCTATACTAGATTACACAGCAGTTTCCACACCATTCCTGCTTGAATAATCCCTGTTTTCCTCATTAAGCTGAGCTCCTGACAGGAGCAATGTCTGTTGTTACAGGTTATTCCTAAAGTCTGCATATTGTGAATTTTGATGGTTATTGCTAAGTCACCTTCTGAAAACTGTTCTCATTTTTAAAATTTGTAATTGTTTTAATGAGTTTGACTATCTTTCCAGACATTTATTGGCCAATTGGATTGCTTCTGTGTTTTCCCAATTTTGTCTTGATTTGTAACAGCACATATATATTAGGGAAAGTGATTTATTTTGTCATATAAGATATAAATATATTTTCATAACTTTGTATGCCAGGTGGTTTCCCTGCCTCTAGTTTCGTATCCCTTGAGGCCATTCTCTACAATCAGAATATTCTTTTTAATGTCCTGATCAGTTTTCTTGCCTCCTAGCCTTTGAACTCCAACTTTTTAAAAATTTCATTAGTATAGAGATTATTGTTCTTCTTTGGGATCTACTAGTTACAAAGATTCCCCTTCCTAACTCTTTTATACCTTTCATAGTCACTAAATTGGTTATTAAATTAGCTTATCACCAGCCTGTCATCTTTAAAGACCTGTAACATCATGTCCTCCTACCACACCCTCCGGCATGGATTGTGGTGACCTTACACCTAGCACAGTTTGTTCTTTATAAATGAATGTGGAATGAATCAGTAGTTGTGACTGCTGTAGAGAACTCTCCCATTGGAAAGGAGCAGGTGCTTTGTGACGCTTTTTGCCTGTTGCTTCTTCCTCTGGTTTCTTCACTGTCCTTTAGATAATGAGATAACTGAGCTTGCTGAACAAGGTGGAAGAACACAGCATTGCAAAGTTTGTCTGATCCTTCATGACCTTTTTATAATGCTTATTCATCTTTGTGTACCAAGAGGCAAGTGATAAGAGAATAAATCTTTAAAAAACACTAAAAAACATGAGGGTATAGAAATTGCTATTCTGTAACTTTGTATTTTTACTTATGTTCTTAAGAACTTCTATTTGGTGAACAGAACTTCATGTATATGCTAAGTAACTTGGGTTGAAATTAAACTTATGAGAACATATATAGTACCTAGAGCAGTCTCATATGAAATGTATGATGTATAGAAATAGAAATATTTTTATTCTTCTTCCTGTTTTTATAGGAGGTTCGTAAAGTGAATGAAAGCATCAAGTATAATCACCCATTGAGAAAATGCGTTGACACGATACTTAAAAAGGTAGTCATATTCTCATCTTTCTTCTTTGGAAATATAAATTAGTAGACTATAACTTTATAATAAAAGCATCAGAAAAGTATGAGAACAGCCTATGACTGTGGTTTCCCCATCTCCTTTCCATTTTTGTGGAGATTTAAAAAAAAATTTTTATTGTTTATTTTGAGTGAGAGAGAGATAGAGTGTGAGTGGGGGAGAGGCAGAGAGGGAGAGAGGGAGACATAGAATCCAAAGCTGGCATCAGGCTCTAGGCTCTGAGCCATCAGCACAGAGCTGGAGGTGGGGCTTGAACCCACAAGCCGTGAGATCATGACCTGAGCCAAAGTCTGACGCTCAACTGACTGAGCCACCCAGGCACCCCAGTTTTCATGGAAATAGTAACCATAAATCAGTAGTAATCTATACATAGAATTTGTTCTTTTGTTATTACAAGGTTAACGTTGAATTATTGGTAATTATTTTTCATTAAATGTGGATGTAGAGGTTAAGTAATGTATAATAATTGCGGACACAGTGATGGAGATAGACCTTCACAGTTTCTAAGTGTGACAGAATGTGGTCACTAAAGGCACATGTCCCATAATAAACCAGAGCCTTAATAATCTCTTTCAGTTGCTTCCAATGTGTCATTTTACGATATATGAAACACATTGTAAAATGAATGACCCTGTGAGATATTTAACACAGATATTTAACAAAAAGCTATACAATTATGGTTTTGATGCATTGGTATTGAATTAGGGTATTCATATACTTCCAAAATGATCATTCCAAAAATGGACTTCTCAATAGTTGTCTTTTCAATCATAGGACCATTGAACTATTTCTTTTTCTATATTTTAAGTCTGTTATACTGATTATTAGCTAGTGTTCCTCTGGCTAAGTTGATGGTCATGAGAATCAGCTCTCTAATCCTTTCTCTTATATTGCTACCTTTTGAGACCTATTCAGGGAGGTTAAGTAACTTGCCCAGATTCATACAGGTAATAAATAAATGATAGGGCAGATGACTCCAAGTTACGTGTTTGTTTTTCTGTACAACACCTTTGAAAAATTCAATGTCTTGGGTTTGCTGCATTTCTTTCTCATTTTTAGCTAGGAAAATTGTTGACAGTTTCATTAGGTGCCTACATAGTCTAATCCTCTCAAGTACTAGTTTGCTTCATGTAGGTGAACTTTCAAGGTAAGAAGACACTTAATACATCTCCTAGAAAATTTTCAAGAAAATGTCAGCAACTAAAAATTCAAGTATCTAAAGACCCCAATAAAGGAAGATGTTTTTGAGAAAGTTAGAATGCCCAAGAATACCAAGTTTTTAAATAAAAATATTTCATGTTTTTGCAAATGAGTTTTAAAAATATCTATTTGTCCCTTTTAGTGCCCTACAGAGTATCAGGAAAAAATGGGTAGGAACATGGATGATTATGAAGATTTTGATGAAAAGCAGAATACCTACCCAAGTGAAAAAAGTCTGGTAAAACTACATAAACAGGTAACTTTATTAATGATAGATTTTTTTACTGATGATTTTAATAAGATTTATAATCGCTGCCCACAAAAAGGGAATTTCGAGTGAATGTGTATTTGAAGCTTTCTTTGATCCTGTGTATTATTCTTTGAAGTGTTTTGACTTTTTGTTTCTCAACAGGGGTACTGTTGGCATTTGGGGAGGGAAAATTACTCATTGTTACATATGTCATACAATATTAACATTCTTGGCCCCACCCAGTAAATGCCACTTGCCACTAACACTTCCCCATTATTGTGACAATCAAAACATGCTCTCTGGCAGGAAGATGAACCACTGTTGGATCAGAATACTGACAGATCTACCCAAATTCTCTTTTTTAGGTGATTTATTCAGTTCAGAGGCACCGTCGAACTCAAGTACAATGGCAGATTCTTTTGGAACAAGCATTTTATCTAGAAGATGTAGCAAAAAATGAAACTAGTGCTACTCGTCAGTTTGTTCACACCTTTCAGTCACCAGAGCCAGAAAATAAATTTATCCAATATTTTTATAATCCTACAGTTGGTATGTAATTTTACATAAATTTCAGAATTTAAAGATGAGAATTTTTCTAGAGGAAAAGAGTATATGTTTTTCCCAATGCAGAGTTGAATTGTATTTGTATTATTTGAGATATACCATGTAGCAATATTATGTATCTGCTAAACTTCCCCCTCCAAAACTGTTTTACTTGTCATACAACATATAATCTATCAATTTCCACAGTTACTTCACAGATAACCAAAATGCTATGCAAAAATATATGCAATATATCAAGCATATTATGTATTCATAGTACATACTTAAAATAATTAGAGTTTTAAGCAGTTTTACATCACAAGCTTGAGTCTCTTCTTCAGTCTTGAAATACTACTAACATACTCCTCTAAGAAGTCCTCTTTGATTATTTATATCTGTTAGTCTATTTAGAAAACCTATATAAGTAGTCATAATTATTTCATTCTCTTTAATGATTATTTATGACACTCTCTCAATGTTGCTGAATTGAGTATGAAGAACTTAATGAAAATATGCCCAGTGTCACAGTATTAAAACTTCCATTTACCTTATTTATTTAAATAAACAATTATGTTCATTTGACTCTTTTTGCCCTGTTTGATCTTGAGTATGAAGACATAATAGGCATAACATGTCTTAGAAAACTACTTCAACAAAGATCTTTTCTAATTAAATGAAAGAAATACTTGTTTTCATTCATTCAACAAATATTTGAGACATATATGCTGTATATTGTTGGGTGTTGGTTATATATCAATTAATCTAATGACAAAATTCCTATCCTATGGAATGAGAAAAATAGGCAATGTACACAGGAAGTATAAGTATAAAGAAGGTATAAAGAAGATCCTGAGTAGGTAGTTGGCTACAGAAATGGGAGTTCAGAGAAGTCTGATCAGCCAGTATAAATTAGGTCATCAACAGTATACTGGTGAGCCAAGTGTCAGAATAAAGTCAACAAAGAAGTGATTGGGATAGACAAGAGAAGGTCTGAGGACCAAGCTTGAGGCACTCCAGAATGTAGACATCAGGTTGATGAGGAGGAACCAGGAAAAGGCTAAAAAGGGAGTAGCCAGTGAGATCGGAAGAAAAACGATGGTGACGTGTTTTGAGGAAAGGCATATATAAAGTACCTCTCCAAATGTTATAGATAGGTTGACTTCAGAAAAGTGAGGTGGGGGTAGAGGGGATTAAAAAGCCAGTTGGTTTAAAAAAAAAAGAGACCAATTGGAGTTTAAAAGAAATCAGGAGGAGAGCAGTTAGAGGCTAGGAGAATAGAAAATTCTCAAAATGTTTTCCTTATAAAATGGAGTAGAGAAAAGAGATAGTAGCTGAAGAATGGCAGAGTCAAGATAAATTACAGCTTGTAATTTGGGAATGATATCTTGGAGGAAATTTAGTGAGTGAAGATAATGGCTGGGGTGATGTTCATGAGTAGCAGAGATGAAATAGGAAATAGTGAACAATGTAGAGATTGCCCTTAGATTAGGAGGTAAGGCACGAATGTATCTAAGCAGGTGAGAAGAGGTGGTGGTAGAAACTTCTGCCAGTTTCTCAGTGAAATGCTGAGAATAAGCATACAGTAAGAGATTTTGAAGATTTGAAGAGAGAAGGTGCAAAATAGTTGCGTAGGAGCGAAAGCGTAGGAGAAGATTGAATTAGAGGAAGCCAGCCAGTCAGTGCTCAGGGTCCACCTGAAGTTGGTGATTAGGAATTTGGAATGACACCAGTCAGCAAAGTTGTGTGTCTTACTCCTAAAGGATGCAGTTCCTTGGGGGCAGGCTCAGAGATGCCAGGGAGTTGGATCCTAACCAGGGTGTGGTCTTGCTTAGGAAGTACAGGGAAGCAAGAGGGAAAAGAAATTGAGATGCTGGACCATAATTATCCTCAAAGACTATGGAATGTGTACTGGTTAAGGAAGCAGCAGGATACCAGAGTATTAAGTGGCAATATAAAGGTGGTAAATGAATGGATGGTTAGTCCAGATAGGGTCAGTCAGTGAGATTGGATATTAGGTGAAGGTATTGCTTGGATACAGGAATGCTGTAATGCTCTAATGAGATTGATCATAAGGAAGGAAGGGCAGTAAGAGGTTTAGGGATGATTGGGAATGAGTAGTTTCGATGGGGTGGAGGATGAGATCACTGGAACAAAGGAGGTCAAGGAAAGACTCTAGGATACTGAAAAAAGAGATCACCAGTGTGGACATTGCATTCATCAGGAATTGTGCTGAGAGTAGGGTTGAAAGATTTAGAGTGTGAGTCAAGAGCTCAACACTTCAGTGAATGAAGTGAAAATGTAGCTTTTTCAGTTTGGTGAGCTTTTCTCTTCTCTTCTCTTCTCTTCTCTTCTCTTCTCTTCTCTTCTCTTCTCTTCTCTTCTCTTCTTTTCTAATGTCAGACTTGGGGCGCCTGGGTGGCTCAGTTGATTGAGCATCCGACTTCGGCTCAGGTCATGATCTCACAGTTCGTGGGTTTGAGCCCCGCTTCGGGCTCTGTGCTGACAGCTAGCTCAGAGCCTGGAGCCTGTTTCAGATTCTGTATCTCCCTCTCTCTGACCATCCCCTGCTCATGCTGGGTCTCTCTCTCTCAGAAATTAAAAACAAACAAACAAACATTAAAAAATAAAAAATGTCAGAGTTAACCAAAAATTGCCAGAATAGTACAAAGAGTTTTTGTATATCCTTCACCCAGATTCATTTGCTTTATCTTTCTCTCTGTATATGTATTTTTCCTTAATCTTTTCAGAGCTGAATCCAGACATGATGCCTCCTTGCTCCTAAATGTTGCAGTGTCTATTTTCTAAAAATAAAGACATTTTCTCATATAACCAAATACAATGACCAAATCAGGAAATGAACTTTGATACAGAGCTGTTACCTGTACACCATAATCAGATTTTGCTAATTGTCCTAAAATATTCTTTGTAAAAAATCCCAGATCATGTATTGTATTCATGTGTCCTGTTGCCTTAGTTTCCATTAATCTGGAACAATTTCTCAGTCTCTGTGTCTTCTGACATTGGTGTTTTCGGAGACTACAGGCCAGTTTTTTATTAGATGTCCCTGAATTTGAGTCTGATATTTCCTCATGTTGGATGCAGGTTTTGCATTTTTGGTGGGAATATTGCAGCAGTGATAATGTGTTCTTCTCAGTGCTTCATAGCAGGAGGCACACGATGTCAGTCTGTCCCGTTACTAGTGATTATTTGGTGAGGATCTACCTCCCTGGTTCCTCCAGTGTGATATTACTGTTTTCCTCTTTGTAGTTATGGATCTTGTATGGAGATATTTTGAAACAATATAAATACTGTAACTCCTTTATGATTTTTCCTAACCATTTTTTCCTTTATCTTCCAGAATGGTACTGGGAATGTCTTTTGAGACCGTGGTTTTATAGGATACTTGCAGTGGTTTTGTCCATCTTCTCTGTGATTGTCGTGTGGTCAGAATGCACATTCTTTAGCACTACACCTGTCTTATCCCTCTTTGCAGTCTTCATACAGCTGGCTGAAAAAACATACAATTATATTTATATAGAGGTCAGTTTATATCTTTCATAAACATATGTCAGTTTATAGTCTAGTCATCACCTTTGTTTTTTCTTTATATAATAATAGTGAAAGTTCCCCGACAGTGTTGTTACTCAGACTTTGAAAAATGGTTTCATCCATTTATTCAAACCATACAAACTAAGAACTGTGTTTGAGGATAGATAACAAGGTGCAAAATAGTACAGAATTCTTTTATGAGAATACTTTGATCCTGTTGATGCCAGTGAAGCTACATAACACACAGTCTTCACAGGAAGGGTAGCCAAGGGCATGGGAGAACCGGCTCACTTCAGGAGATGGATTTGAAACTTATGGACAGGATGTTGAACTGGTTAAGATGTAGATTTTTTTCATAAATTCATGTTCTTAGGTGGCCAAAAAAAATCTGTTACTGTGTTTAAACCAGTTACAGGTGTTTAAAACCTGAACTGTGTTCTAAAATTTTAGAATGTCAATAAATGCTGGTAGAAATAAAGGATAATGTTTGTGAGAGTATATAAAGTGCTAAGCTCCATTAGTCTTAAGTCTGTTAGTCTTAAACTGGTTCTGCTTGTTTTTATTTTTCAGATTGCTTGCTTCCTTTCCATCTTCTTTCTGAGTATCTGCGTTTATTCTACTGTGTTCAGGATTCGTGTCTTTAACTATTATTACTTGGCTTCACATCACCAGACTGATGCTTACAGCCTTCTCTTCAGTGGCATGTAAGTAGGAGTGTGTTTAGACACAAGGGAGCGACCCCACTGCATGTAGTCTATGGATGTCCCTTCTCTTTCTTGTTTTTCTGAGCCTTCCACTAACACCTGCATTTATGTGATCTCATTGATTAGGTTTATGCATTAGTTAGATGTTTGTTGATTGCAATCTAAATCCTGCTTGAAGTCTAAAGTTACAAGAGGCTTACTAGGTTAAGAAGGAAAAGAAAGACGACCTGGATTTACAAATTAGAGATCCAATCAATAGGTTAGTAAATACTAGGAGCATTTGAAAGTGTTGAGGCTAAGTCAGACCTAGAGAGTGTTTGGAGGTTCAGGAGCATCAAACTGCATTGGGAAGGACTTAAGAAAATGAACAGGAATACTCTTTACTAAGAGAGTATTGCTTATAAGAGCTACATTGTGCTATTGTTTTTTCTCTATTGGCAAGTCAATTATATTAGGTATTTATAAAGGTTGGACTTAGGCAAGTTCCCAGAGAAACCCATATCTAAAGCATCTTTAAGACTTTTTTCTTTAAACCTTTTTTCCCTCAAATAATCATAGAGTCACAGGAGGTTGCAAATATAGTACAAAGGATTCTGTTAACCTTCACCTAGCTTCCCCGAATAGAGAAATTTTATATAGCTGTTGTACAATATCCAAACCATGAATTTTTTACATTGATACATTACTCTGAATTAGATTACAGATCTCATTTAGTTCTTACTAGTTTTTATCCTTTGTTCACATGCACGTGTGTGTATGTGTGTAGATTCATGTAACTACCACCACAATCAAGATACAGAACTATTCCATCTTCACAAAATAACTTCCCTTATTTCCTCTTTGTACTCACACCCTCCCTTCATTTTCTTCTCCTCCTATTCTCCAACTCTGTAATTCTGTGAGGTTCTCTTTTTATCTGGACAAAACTGAGCTCTAACAGTTCTTTGTACCTGAACTTGTCACAGTGACCTACTTCAATACAACTTCACAATACAACTTCATCTCCTTTATGTACTGAGTACAGTTCCCCTTGAGGATATTGCCATCCTGGGTCAAGCCGACATGGGTTGCACAGATGGTAGACTTGAATTCTTCAGGCATTGCACAGATTCTTAGGATGAAGCTGTGGCAGCATTTTGCCATGTAGGCGTTGATGTGTTAGGGAGACGTGATTAATACGATATTCAGAATGTCTCTCAAGTAAGGGCAGTTTACATTAAGAATTCAAGATATATATAAATACAAATAGATGAAAATAACAATATAATAAAATGTATTTTGCTGCTATTTTTTTATATATTCTGTTAATAAATGCTTATTGCAGGTTATTTTGCCGTTTGACTCCTCCTTTATGTCTTAATTTCCTGGGTTTGACCCATATGGACTCATCCATCTCTCACCAGAATACACAGCCAACTGCTTATACATCTGTAAGTATGGTTAGGAAATAGTTATGGGTTTGTTTGTTTTTTTAATTTTTTTACATTTATTTGTTTTTGAGAGACAGAGACAGAGCACAAGTGGGGGAGGGGCAGAGAGAGAATGAGACACAGAATCTGAAGCAGGCTTCAGGCTCTGAGCTGTCAGCACAGAGCCTGATGCAGGCTCAAACCCATGAACTGTGAGATCATGATGTGAGCCAAAGTCGGACGCTTAACCAATTGAGTCACCCAGGTGCCCCAGGAAACAGTCTTTAGATTCATTGTCTCTACAAGATGTATTGTTGTAGAATTTCTTGTAATGCCAGCAGAAATGTTCAACAATGTTATTAGGATTTTTTTTTAATATAAAACTTCTTTTAAAGGTTTTATCTGTAATTACTGATGACTGGATAAAAATGATTTTGCTCTTTTATTGTAAAAAAAAGTTTTTTGGTTCACATAGATTGGCCAGCTGAGCAATATCTATTGACCTGATCTATAATATTAGCTTTTATATTTATAATCTTCATGTACACGGTAATTTTTAGTAGTATTTATAAAATATTTTTTATGTGAAAACTTTAATAAATAAGCAAATTCAGATATAAGTGACATATAACATTGTATTGGTGTAGGGTGTACAATAGAATGATTTGATACATGTATGCATTTTGAAATGATTGCCACATAAGTTTAGTTAACATCCATCACCTCACATCGTTAAAAGTTTTTCTGATGGCAGGATGCCTGGGTGGCTCAGTTGGTTAAGCGTCCGACTTCGGCTCAGGTCATGATTTCATAGTTCGTGGGTTTGAGCCCTGCATTGGGCTCTGTGCTGACAGCTCTGGAGCCTGCTTCAGAGTCTGTGTCCCCCTTTCTCTCTGTCCTTTCCCCACTGTCTTCCTCTGTCTCTCAAATGTAAACAACTGTTTAAAAAAATTTTAAAAAAACAAGTTTTTCTTGTGATGAGAACTTAAATATCAGTCCATTTAGTGCTTTATTTCTACTTTTTGAAAAGTCCAAATTTGTAACTATAACTGGTTATGAGTGAATTTTTCTAATGGTGGAAAGAAATGAAAAATACAGAATTGTACTAATTTAGCTTTTTTTTTTCTCTTTAGATTATGGGTTCCATGAAAGTTTTATCCTTTATTGCAGATGGATTCTATATATATTATCCTATGTTGGTGGTAATTCTCTGCATTGCTACTTACTTTAGGTAAGAACTTAACATTATTTTTCTCTTACTCTTATCCAATCTGGATATCCTTTCTCCTTAAAGCCTGTTTAAATTTTCACTGTTTAGGTTTTGGTTATTGTTTGTTTTACTGTGGCTTTGGGAGAGAGAGGGATAGTTTAAAGGGTTTGCTTAAGTAATTAGGCCAGGCTCTCCCTCTGAAGGGATTTTTATGGAAAGAGAAGTAGAGTTACTCTTTTACAAGTATTAGGCTACAAGGTGAGAGGATTGATTGCAAAATGTTAACTCTCAGTTCTGGCCTTCAACACTGACAGCCAGTGTAGCTCATAAAATACATCCCTGCCCATCTTTTATCCAGTAACATAAATGAATCTGAGGGCGGGGTGCCTGGGTGGTTCAGTTGGTTAAGCAGCCGACCTTGATTTCGGCTCAGGTCATGGTCATGACAGTGAGGAGCCTGCTTGGGATTCTCTCTTTCCTTCTCTCTCTGCCCTTGCCCGGCTCTCTCACACACTCTCTCTCAAAATAAATACGCTTAAAAAAAAGTCTTAAGGCTTTCCCCACAATCATTGCCAGGTTTCTAGATGCCTCAGACCTTAGCCAGCACAAAGCAGCAGGTGAGGCAGTATATACATGAAGTGGGAAAGGACACAGACTATAGTTTTTTATAGGATTAGAAAAAATGCTTGATTCTTGGCAAGGGTGTGACTCACAAGTAGGTAAAGACAGCTCTCCTTGGCTTCTAGCACCCTGTCTCCCCTACTTCCACATGTCAGGCGCCCTCATCCTGTACTGCGTTTGCCCTCTTCACTGCTTAAGAGCTGTGACACACTAAAAAGACCGCTTTTAAAAAAATATTTATTGATGTTAATCACTTTGCTTTTCTGATGAAAATGTTTTATCCAACCACTTTTCATTTAAAACTTCCAATACCATTAGATAGTTATTACAAATAATGTGTATGCACTCATTAAGATGTTAAATAAACAAATATTGTTTGAAATAAATTCTCTATTGGGTGTTTAAAAACATTTATATTTTACCTCCTCATAGGTAAAATAAAGAATTATATTTTCAAATAAAACTGTTAATATGAACTGCTAGTAAGTCCAATTTTCAAGGTTTTTTTTCTGTAAGGTAAAAAAGACCATATGTCTGTTTATACTGTGAAAATGATGTAGTAAAAGAAGGCACTATACTTTGCATGTCTGAAACTTAATTTTGATTATATGTTTATTCATTTTTAAAGTTTATAAAACTAGGGCGCCTGGGGGCTCAGTCATTTGAGCATCCTACTCTTGATTTTGCCTCAGGTCATCATCCCAGGGCCATGGGATCAAGCTCCGTGCCGGGCTCTGTGCTTAGTGTGGAACCTGTTTAGGATTCTCTCTCTCTCTTCCTCTGCCCTACTCCCCCACTCACACTCTCTCTGTCTCTAAAATAAAAAAATAAAAATAAAGTAAAAAAATTTTTACAGTTTACAATACTATTAATGAAACATTAAGAGCTTGTGATGTGTGAATTATGTTTTCACATGTTAGTAGTTTTGTTAGCAAGATTAGCATCTCTTCCTACCTTATTAGAGTGTTAATATGGAACAAGTAATAAATGGGTGGAATAACTAATGCTTTATCAACTATAAAATCTTAAATATAAAGAATCATGTTTAAAAGAAAAATTGTTAAAGTTGAAAATGATCCAGGGGTGCCTGGGTGGCTCAGTCGGTTAAGTGTCTGACTTCAGCTCAGGTCATGATTTCATGGTTCATGGGTTCGAGCCCCATGTCAGGCTCTGTGCTGACAGCTAGCTCAGAGCCTGAAGCCTGTCTTCAGATTCTGTGTCTCCCTCTCTCTCTGACCCTCCTCTGTTCATGCTGTCTCTGTCTCTCTCTCAAAAATAAATAAAACATTAAAAAAAGTTAAAAAAAAATAAATAAAATTGAAAATGATCCATTAAAGGTACTGTTTTAGAGTTAATTAGGATAAACTTTGAGTTACAATTTGTATTTTAGGAAAAGAAAGGTCAAATTCTTCAATTTTCAAATTACTTTTCAAAACAGATATTCTGTTATAGAACTATATGAAACCTTACTGACGTTTTAATGGTACTTTCTTCCTAAGTCTGTTTTCTTTGAAATGCTGCCATAAGTAGTCTAATTTCGATATTACTAACAGCACAGCCATACCCAGAGTTAATATTCAGACTTAACTGCTTAGAGAACATAAGGCTGTTTTTCCTGACACTTTAGGAAAAGCTATAACCTTCTCAGAGACCATGATCTAGTTGGGGGCTTCTCATACTAGGATATCATATTCCCATAATGCTATGAAGATAGTAAAGGAATTATTAAAGTCTCAGAATTAGCATGACTATCTATCCAACACCCCAGTTTTGCTCAGTGGTAGGTTATATAAAGCATTCCTTATATATCAAAGCAAGCAGATATATTATGAATTCATCAGAGTTTTACACGTTGGTAATATAAAATGGAAGACTTTCACTTTCATGTAACTGCTCCACTGTTTCCCTCTCCTCCCAGTGCATGCACCTGTGTGCACACACACACTTACTCTCTCCTCCTCCATTTCCCTCTCTCCCTCCTTGCTCCATGTATGTGTTCAGGCTTCTGTCATTGGGAGTACATCAGTAAAAAAGTTTGAAAACTAAGGTAATAAAAAGAGCTTGGTCTTTGTTTTGTCTTGGATTTAATTTAAATCCGAGCTCTAAGATTTATTCAGTGATGATCATTAGCAAAGTATTTAATCCTGTGGGCCTCTGTTTCCTTATCTGCAAAATGATATCTATCTCGTAGGTTTACAGTGAAAATAAAATAAGAGAGTATGTGTAAATTGGCTGATGTATAGTGGGATCTTAAATATTAATCCAGCCTGTCTATCCATTGCTGCTTTCTTTGTGTGTCATATTTGGAGAGTATTCTTGTCCTGCACAGCAATGAGGTTTAAAGTAAATACCAAATAAGATAAAATAATAGCCCCCAGGTAAGATACAGTAATTAATTTTGAGTTTATAATAAAAGCTATTTAAATAGAATTGACTAGAGCTCAGGTTAAAAAAATGAACATGAATTTTTTGCATAATTAAGATTGTGTGTGCATATTTTCAGCATTAAGATTGCTGTTTGAATATAAGAAAAGAAGGGTGCCTGGGTGGCTCAGTCAGTTAAGCATCTGGCTTTGGCTCAGGTCATGATCTCATGGTCCATGAATTCAAGCCCCATGTCAGGCTCTGTGCCGACAGCTCAGAGCTTGGAGCCTGCTTTGGATTCTGTCTCCTCTTTCTCTGCCTCTTCCCTACTCATTCTCTATCTCTTTCTTAAAAATGAATAAACGTTAAAAAAAATTTGAATATAAGAAAAGAATAAATTGCATTTGTATTATAGCCATTGTTTTTTATGTCTATGATTTCTGAAGGTATGCTAATGGCCCAACTTATTTTGTTTTTGTAAGGAATCTGGGTATGGTGCATATCCTGTCAGTGGAGTACTGGATATATAAGCTCCTTGGAGAAATAAATCCTTCTTAAAGAAAGACAAATGTTGGGGTGCCTGCGTGGCTCAGTTGGTTGAGTGTCTGACTTTACCTCAAGTCATGATCTCGTGGCTCATGGGTTCAAGCCCTGTGTTGGGCCCTGTGCTGACAGCTCAGAGCCTGGAGCCTGCTTTGGATTCTGTGTCTCCCTCTCTCTCTGCTGCTCCCCTGTTTGTGCTCTGTCTCTCTCTCTCAAAAATGAATAAACAATTTAAAAAAAAGACAAATTTAACTATGTAACTTGTCATGATAACTAATAATAAAATACAGGCTTCTTTGGGGTGATGATACTAAAGAAACGGTTATCTAAATATTTACAACGAGAAATAATACTTGTCTTTTTTTAAAATCTACTTGTATTAGTTTGGGAACTCGTTGTTTGAATCTACTTGGTTTCCAGCAGTTCATGGGAGATAATGATATGACATCAGACTTGGTTGATGAAGGAAAAGAATTAATCAGACGAGGTAAGATTTGTCTTTTAAAATAAATGAACAAAAGTACTCAGACTCAAAATATAGAATTCAAATTGTAAAATTTATAATTTTTAATCTATCTTAAATTAATATTTTTAACTAAAAATCTATGTACAGGCTTCATAGCAAAAATAATTTAAAAATATAAATGGGGGGGGGGCGCCTGGGTGGCTTAGTCGGTTAAGCGTCTGACTTTCGCTTAGGTCATGATCTCACGGTTCGTGGGTTCGAGCCCCGCGTCGGGCTCTGTGCTGACAGTTAGCTCAGAGCCTGGAGCCTGTTTCAGTGTGTGACTCCCTCTCTCTCTGGCCCTCCCCTGTTTACACTGTCTCTCTCCTAGAAATAAATAAAACATTTATATATATATATATAAATGAGGGTTTCATCTGACTTTAAGAAATACTACAGCAGAAATCATTAGTATATATTCAGCTAAATAATGCTCTTGAATGGTGTTGGAGTCATTTTCATGTTTGTCTAGAAACAGATTTGCCAAATTCAGTACAACTGTAAAATTCATGAGTTGAAAGAACCATCAGTTTAATACTACAGAGGAAATCATTCAAGCCAAGGCTGGTGTTTAGAATGTGATGATTGTTAACAACCCTTTAGAGTGCATGCAGTCTACTAGAATCTAATCCCAACACTGACTGTATCAAATTTCCTGACGTTTAAGTGATAGTAGGGAAAAAAGAAAACAGAACTTGAGTGTGGGGACACTGATTCCTAGACATTCTCCCTATGTGTGTCTGGAGTTTTTATGTGATTATTAGTTAAATGTAAGCCAAAATATGTTGTAGCTCCAATAGAAGCTGTTGCAGCCTTCACAGGTTCTCCTAGGAAGTTGATGTGATGGTTCTACTGCTTTTTGCACTAATTAGACCTCATCTGGAGTATCATATTCATTCCTGGGTAAGATTTCAAGAGTAGGACTAACAAGTTAGGAGATACTTAGAAGGAGAAGGAAAGCTAGATTATGTAGAGCCTATCTTATTTTAAAAAAATAAAGACAAAAAACAAAAAAACACTGAGTATATAGCCTGAAGAGAATAAAGGAAAGAACTTTTTATGCAGAAAGAAGTATCAACTTAATTTAGAAGATAAGGCGAGAAAAGAAAAGAGAAGTTACAAACAAATTTCAAGTTACCACAAGGAGGGACTTTTTCCTCACTAAAACTATTTAGACAAAGCCTAAAGGTCATCTCCAACAAAAATACGGAAGGTATTCTCTGTGGACTTAAGTGGCCACTGCAGTCCTTTCCAACAATAACCTATTACTTTTGACTTTGTAGTAATTTAAAGGAAATTGGTCATAGCCTGATACCTTTACTTCAGTTACTCTACATCTAATTAAACCATGTTATACCAAATTTGAGACCACTTTTCTGTCTCTAGAGAAGAGAAAAAGGCAAAGGCAAGAAGAAGGTGAAAATCGAAGAAGAGTAAGTATAGTACTTAATTTGCTGTGACCCAAAGCCTAATGTGAAGTATCATAAGAATTTTACTGATTTAGAATTGGCTAAAGACTAAAGAACAATGGGAAAATGACATAGGACACATTGTTTTAATAAGGTAATTTTAATACTTTAGATGTACATGCTAAGTGTCTTGTCAGATCTATTTTAAAAGTTATTAGTATTAAATTATTTCATGTCCAGTGTGTAGCTGTTTCTTGCCCACGATAGGTGCTCAGTAAATACTTATTGAATGAATTAATAAATTCATGCTGTGTTGCTATTAAAATCATTTTGATTGCTTTAAAGTTGTTACAGTTTTTTGGTAATATGACATTAATTGTATTCCTCTTCAATTTTTCTTCAGTCTTCTGTTTGCTGAAGCAAATTAACCTCCTCCTAGAGAGTGAAAAGGCAGCAAACTAGAAAAATCTAGTCACAGTTAACACAAATTTACAACACCTTGGTGTTATCTATACTGGAGTCGTGAAGACTCAGAGGAGGAGACATGATGGCTGTCTTCATATATTGTAGTGTGTGGTGTGAAAGGAGACTTGTTTATTTCAGAAGATATCATTAGAACCAGAGAGGGGAAGTTACTGAGACAGATTTCACCTCTCAATGAAAATTTCTACCTTCCACAGTTTATCAAAATTGTGACAGGCTGCTCACACATAAAAACTTCCATGTCATTGGGGTGCCTGAGTGGCTTGGTCAGTTAAGCGTCCAACTCTTGATTTCAGCTCAGGTCATGATCTCACGGTCATAAGATCAAGCGCCTGTGTCGAGCCCTGCACTGGAGGTTAAAATTAAGATTCTCTTTCCCTCTGTTCCTCCCCTGCTTGTGGAAGAGGATGTGCACTCTCTCTCTAAAAGAAAGAAATTTACATGTCCTCTAATAAGAGAGTCCATGGCATGGCTATTTTATAATGAAACTGCACTGCAGAGCAGGTTGAATTAGGTGACCTCTATGTTCCTTTCAGTTCTAAGAATTTATTGAGTAGTATCTCTCTCAATATGGTTTGACTGCAGTTACCTAATCATCTTGTATACAACTCTTGATTTTGCTATCAAGAGTGACTTTTCAGGTCTTTGATATTTGTAGTTTATTCATATGGGAGAAAATTCTGTTAACATCTCATGAATTATTATGAATTCTGATAACTTTTATGTGGTCAGGGTAAGCTTATTGTAGCTGTAATGTTTTGACATTTTAGAGGAATTGAAAAGGTTAATGTTTTGACATTTTAGATAGAAGAGTTGAAAAGGTTAATTATAGCTAGCAAAAATGTAAATGTTCATTTGTAAAAATTTGGACACTGGTTTAAAATGTAGTGACAAAAATTATTGAAAATTTTAATGGCACTAAGCTAATCATATTGATTATCTGGTGAGTTTCTGATGAGAATAACTGAATTTTATTACTCTACATAATCATCTCTTGACACTGATGAATTACTTTCAGCCCGTGAGTTCTTTTGTTATATATTTATTTGTGTTTCTGTCCTAGGAATGGAAAGAACGTTACGGACACAATAGAGAAGACTCCACTAGAAACAGAAATCTTCATGTTGACCCAAAAGAATCAAATCTCTCAGATATTAGTACCAACCGATGTAAGTAGTTTATTTTCCTGTTCCCTTAGAAATCGTTTTATTATGCTTGCTTGCATAGTGACTCAGAATTAGGATATCAATTCAAAAATGTCTTTATAAAATAGCAAATATGGTTCTGTAGTGTCTTTCCTTTCTCATCCCTCAGTGTATAAAAGGAAGGAAAACCCAAATATGTCCTCTAGTAGGAGGAGAAATTGGGACAGCAAATGAAGAATTATAATTGTACTACCCTAAATAATAATCAGTACTTACCCAGGCATGTTGTAGGCAGGTGCTTATTTCTACTCTTTACCTAGATGTTGTTCTTTTCTTTTCTATTAGTAGATGTAAGCAATTCAGTCATTTTTATAACAGTTTCCTAACTGACCCATATATGTCACATACTTTACCTGGATATACTGTGATATAGAGAAGTTTCCTGTCCTTGGATTGCTGATTAATTTAGTGAGGGACTGATACCAAGCAGAAGACATTTGCCAGTGAATTGAGTTAGGAATCCTCCTCACATCCTTGACCCTGCCATCTGCCCTGGGAAGGTGGCAGGAAACCTGTTTTTGCCAAGGACTCTGACCTGAGTAGTGGCAGAGGATGCTTGTCTTTGGCAGGAATGCTGAGAGTCAAGGGGTCAAACCTGATGCCAAGGGAACTCAACTCAAGGGCTGGAAAAAGAGATCTTTATTGGGAAAGGATTTCCATGATAAATATTCACTGACTATTTGGGAATGAATAGTACTTAGCCAGGTTAAGGTTTTTTAGGCAGAAGGGCGAATGACTGACTTGAAAGAATCTTTGGGGGAATACAAGTTTGTTTCTATGACAAGAGCCTAAAGTATGAGGAGCCTGTTAAGGGGAGGCTGCAGAGATAGTTGGGAAGCAGGTTTTACCACGCCCAGAAGGTTAGATTTTATCTCCAAGGTAAGATTTCAGTCAGGAAAGGAGCATGCTCAGGTTTTTGGCTTAGAAAGATAAATTTGATAGCACCACATAAAGCAGGATTTCCAGGGAAGTGAGACACAGAAACCTGTTTAATTTCTCTCTTGGTAATGCGATCAAGAAATGATGAGGGCCTAAAATAAGCAGTGACCCTGGAGATGAGGAGGAGAGGATGTGTTTGCATGAGATTTAGGATAGAAGAAATGGGAGGGGTGCCTGCTGGGTGGCTCAGCAGGTTAAGGGTCCAACTCTTGGTTTCGGCTCAGGTCATGATCTTAAGTATTCGTGAGTTCGAGCCCCACATCAGGCTCTGCACTGACACCACGGAGCCTACTTGGGATTCTCTCTCTTTCTCTCTCTGTCCTTCCCCCACTTGTGCTGTCTCTCTCTCAAAATAAATAAATAAACTTTAGAGAAGAAGAAATAGGAGACAGCTAAAGTTTCAGTTAAAGCTAGGAAATAGAGGGTGCCTGGGTGACTCAGTTGAATGTCCGATTCTTGGTATTGGCTCAGGTCATGATCTTGTGGTTAGATTGAGCTGAGCCTGCTTGAGATTCTCTCTCCCTCTCCCTCTCTTCCCCCCTTATGCTCTCTCTCTCTCTCTCAACAACAAAAAAATAAGCTAGGAAATAAAGGGAGAATTCTAGAAAGATTTGGAAGCTTGTTTACCATAGAGTAGGGCAGTGGAAAGATGTGAGAGTGTGGGAGAATGGTGAAGAGAAGAGGAAATATAATGCTTGACTTGGAGAGAACTTGCAGTGTGGGAGGCAACCAATATGTGCTGAATGAATGACAGAAAAGATGAAGGGCAGAGTCCAAGATGACAAAAGTAAGATATGATAGAATTGGCTTGCTTTAAGTCTTCAAAAAGAGCTATGTCATAAAGTTCTTTTGAAGCTATTGGACTGCTCAAAACAACATTATGAAAGTTTAGGTTGTTTATGACGAAAACTCACACAGTCCACCTAGCAAAGGGAGAATTAGTTCTCTAGATCTGTGCTGACCAGGCAGGTAGTCATTAGCCACATGAGGCTGTTGAGCATTTGCAGTGTGGCTGGTGTCCCATGTTAAAATGATCATATATTGGATGTGTTGAATTAAATTAAGTATGTTAAGATTAATTTAGTCTCTTTCTCTTTACTTTTTTAATGTAGCTACTAGTAAAATTCAAAGTGAATATGGGGCTTGGCATTTTATTTCTGTTGGACATTGCTGCCTTTAACTCTTGTCTCATGGGAAAAAGACTCAGGCCTTTCTTGAAGAGCTTAAGTTGAGTATATCTTAAAGAAAATTCTAGCCAAGAACTGAGATATAGCAATCCCTGGATTCACTGTGAAACCAATTGAAACTTGATAATGAGCAATTTCACTGTTACGATGCCGTAATTAAATGTTAATTTTGATTCATTTTAATTGAGTCTTTGCATTGTACCTGCTTCTGAGCTTAGATTAGCTACAAGGGAGAACTTTTCTGTTATTTTCTGTCATAGTATTTATCATTTTAATTGATTCTTAAGGAATCAAGTAATTATCTTCCCTTACTGTTGTCTTCATAATCAAAACTCAGATCCTTTATAATCTTGACTTTTTGGGGGGAGTCCAAAGACTGTGACCAATAAAGACCATAGAAAAGTAGACATAACTTTTTTCTTTTTTGACAGCAGCATCCAAATATACCAGGGCTAATAACAGGACTGAAAGGGACCGAATAGAGCTCCTCCAAGATGTAGAACCTTTGGATTTTAATGCAGAAACATTCACTGATGATCCTCTTGAATCTGAGCCAGGAAGGTAAGCTCTGGCTGTGTCATTTTGGATCCAGCATTTTGAAATTTTAATAGCGTACAATTTGATGAGATAAGCATAAGGGAAATACTCATTTTTACTGCTAATTAAAACCATGTTAATCAATCTTCGGTACCTTTTTATACCTTCTAATGCTTCTGTATTTTAAAAATTATAGTATCCAGTAGTCGTACTTGAAATTGATATCTCTATAAGCTACTAGTGAGTGATATTATAAATAAGAAAGAATTGAAATTGATAGTAAGAATCTGTGAAATTTATCATATCAACAGCCACATAGCTATGACTATAGCTATAGTCAGACACTATCCTAAGTACATTAACCATAATACTGTATTTTATGGTTGTAAATCCAGTTGGATTTGAATCCAGAGAGGCTTAGTAACTCACCCAGAGTCACACAACTTACAAGTGGCAGAGTCAGGTGTTCAAACCCCAGGACTCTGGCTGTAGAATCTGACCACATGCTCTGTGAAAATGATTAAACAAAAGCAAAATATCATATGCATGAAGATATTTGCTACATTATTGCCCATAAATAAACACTAGAATGTTCTATTTATATTGAACAATTAAGAGTGGTTATTAAGTCTTCAGTTCCATAATATATTTATATCTCCCTATTCCTTTCTTTGTACATCTCTCACCCTCTCATATGTGTACTCTAAGCTCTAAAAAAGCTGCCGGTTAATTTATAATTAAGTAAATCCCTTGGGATAATATCTTTGGAGAGTAAGTTTCTGCTTTCAGCTACTGGAATTTTACAAATTGTGCTTAGAAATCATGTAGCCACTTCCTTTTAATGTGTCCTTGTTTTTCTCTCCTCCTTTGTTATTTTTGATGCCTCAGATCATTTCTTTATCCACCTTTCAGGTATCAGCCTGGTGGACGATACCTCTCTATGTCTCACAGCAGAATATTTGATGATGTTTAAAGTCTGAAAGAATTTATGGAACAACTAACCAAGATCAACACACCATTTCAGTCTTTACGGACATATGTATGCCCCAGGATTTACACTGTACTCTTAATGAAAAGTGTCAGGACAAAAATGGCACTGAAAGTTAATCACATCTCAGTAATCATAGTTTATTGCCCTTGAGTAGAATGTCATCTTTTCTCGTAGGATTTATTACCATTCCTGAAGTGTCTGCCTCAGAAGTACAGGTGTAATGGAAGGATTCAGTTCTGGATAAAAACCAGTACATGTTGAGAATATGTAGTACAGTTTATTTCAGGTTAGTTTTTTTTCAGGAAAGTTGTTTTAAAGGTCCAGAAAAGCTGTAAGTCATGACTAAATAACATGATAAGTTTTATTACTGTGATTTACATTTTTGCTGTTTCTAAAGCTTATGTTAATCCTGTATTTCCCAAAGAGATAGAGACCACAAATAATGGCATTTACAAAACCCATGTCTTAAAACAAGGCTTACTTACCAGACATAACTGAATGTAGAAAGCTCTTTTTCAACTATATATGCAAATTTGTGGGGGGTTTGCATGTATAATTAAGATTATACTTCAATTGACAGTGTTGGTATCTTTAGCATGTGTACTATAATCGGGTGATGTATTATTCTTTCAGTCTTTGGCAGTAACTGGAAATTACGCTTTTGGTATTGCTTTGTAAAAGATTTTCATTTCAGGGAGAAATGTTCACCTTTATCATTTAGCATATTGACTTACGTGTTGATCATTCTGCTCAAGGAGAATCTGAAGCATTAACGGTAAATAGAAGGTGTTTGGTTTTTTTTTTTTTAAAGAGCCAAAGAGCCCCATAAAATTCTCTAATTTTTAAAGGTGGCTATTTATGCTTTTTGGAAAATAACATTTGGTTATTAAAAGGTAAAAAAAAATACTGTTATTATTAACACCTAAATTATGGTTAATATTTCAATTTTTTAAATTTGTTTTTGAGAGAGAGAGAGAGAGCATAAGCAGGGGAGGGGCAGAGAGAGAGAGGGAGGCACAGAATCTGAAGCAGGCTCCAGGCTCTGAGCTGTCAGCACAGAGCCCAATGCAGGGCTCAAACTCCAGAACCATGAGATCATAACCTGAGCTGAAGTCTGACACTTAAGCGACTGAGCCCCCAGACACCCCTAAATTGTGGTTTATAGAGGGGAAATGTGTAATAACTTTTTTAAATATGCTTATTTAAAAAAATTTTTAACGTTTGTGTTTCAGCCAAAGTTAGGTATTACATTTTAAATCATCAGTGTTTTATTGCATGCACAGTGAATACTGTACAGTTGAGCACAACATGCTTGCAGAGAGTTTCTTATGTCCCTGAAATTGTTGCAATTCAGAGACCGCTGCAGTTCTCAAGCTTGCCCACAACAGTCTCAGGTTAACACCTGTTATTCTGTGTAATTGTTAATTGTGCTCACTTTCACTTGTAGGTATCCCAGTTTGAAAATGATTTATATAGTCACCCTATCCATATATGTTTCTTGAAGGTAATCCTCCCTTGAATCATAATTTAAAACTTTTTATTTTGCTGCTAGCATTACCATGTAATTTTTTTAAAGACAGTTCGATGCAGATACTGAAAGGAATAATAGATCATCCTAATTATCTGATTTTTTTCCAGTTTTTATGATCTTTGAGGTTAGGCCCCCTTTAAAATAATTATAATTGGATAGATTTTATTCTCAAAGGCCATATAGACTTTATAAATGGATAGGTTTTATTCTCAAAGGCATTTGAGAACACACACAGCCTTTCATTGTAAAGTGTGGTTAGTGAGCTGTGGGCCAGGAGCAGAGATAATTTAGTACTGTTTGTAATTTCATGATTCAATACCTTGGGCAAATTATGTAACCTTTCAGTGCCTCAATTTCTTCATTTGTGAAATGAAGATGATACTTGCTATTTACCTACTGATCTACCTCACAAAGCTATTGTGAGGGTATTCAGTTGATGTTTATATGCTGGAGTTTAAAAAAAACAAGTTGTTAGTTGTGCTATTTTTTTCCTAGTGGTACTTGAAGGTGTTGGGTGGAGAAATGATCAGCCCAGAGAGGGGTTCAGTTTCTTACAATTACAGAGAAGCAAAACAGTCTTTGGAATAATTTATCAAAAGTCCTATGAAAATAGTACCGTTGTACTTTTCATCTTTGGGTTTACCTTGAAATATTTTCCTTAAGCTTAAAGTTGTTTCTCATCAGGTTTTGTCATGAAAACCAGATGCTGTAGAAGGAGAAGCAGAAAAAGAGAAGAAATTATCCAGTCACTTTTGTAACGTACAATGCCCTAAAATAAATTGATAGGAATATGTAGGGGAATGAACTACTTTCCTTTTTCATTAAAATTTTTATGATTATAGTAATAGAAGTATATGTAATACTTCACAAACAATAGCACTCCCTTTGTGACTTTTGTGTTACTGCCCACATAATTTTTGGTTAAGTTATCTAGACTGTTCCAACTTTTAAGCAGAATTTATCTTACAGGATTTTATATATGATCATATGGGATCATTTACCTGACTGGGTAAATTTGATTTAACCCTTGAAGAATAAAGAATTTATTGCTGGAGAACAAATTAATAATTTGTTAAGCCACTTTGCCTAAAGTGGAGTACAAACAAGTTTTCTTTTCAGGGAAGCTTATGCAAAACATTACTACTAAGTTCATATACTTTAAATGCAGACTAATTTCCTGAAGAATTACTTCTGACAATTCGCTTTTTATGTTTTTCTTATGTAATAATAGGTAACTGATTACATTTTTAAAATTATTTTTCTAAATAATCATTAGGTAAGGATATTCAGTAAGCCAGTAATTCAAATAGCCATTTCAGAAAAAATAATTATCTATTAATTTCATGAATCACCTGTAAGTTGCTAATTAACTTTTGTTACTACATCAATTACTTGTTATCAACAGAGCATTTTTATAAAAATTATTATTAAAATAAGACATAAGGGATAGGCCTAATTATTAGAATTTGCTCTCTTTCCAAATGAATACAGGGCTTTGGAATAATTCAACACAAGAGGCCTTCATTTCACAAGAGAGGTAAGAGCTAAATTAAAAACAGTCAAGGATTTTCAATTTATAAAATAAGATTAGAAAATTAGACAACCTGCACCATCAAAAAGAAATGCTGTGAGTTGATTTGGTTTTGAATTCTATTTGATTAGAGTATCACTTCTGAAATTTGTACTCGTGTACCCAAGTGAAACTAAATGTGGAGAGGAAGGTCGAGTTGTGTAGTTTTTTTTTTTAGTATACTTCAGCATATGAATGGATTTCATTTATGTGCAATAACAAACCTCATTTTTTTTATCTTGTAATAGATTCAGGGAATGTTCTTGATGGTGTGTTGATTACCATCTTAAAGGAAAAACTCTCCATTATTATAATTCACACTGTTCAGTAATACTGTTTTGTACTTGTGATTTGAGTGGACCATGCCTGAAAATCACAAGGATAAGTCTATTTGCACTAAAGAGGCAAAACATGTCCCTGAAAAATCTTAACATACTTGAATCTCTGAAGTACAGTGGATCACATTACATTAAATTCTAAATGTTAAGTAAATGGATTTAGAATTTTATCTTTACTGTCTTTACTTCCTCCCTTCCTCATTCCTCTTTTACCTTCCTTTCTGAGGCTCTTTTTATAGTATGACTTTTAATGTGCTGACACATTTTCCTCTGTTTTGTGTACACAGTTGTTTCTGATGATCTGTACACTCAAAAGGAACTAGTTCTGATTCCATATCCCACTACTTTAATAGTAATATTGCACCTAAAGTAATGAAACTGATTTTTCTAGACAACTAAGCAACATCTGAATGTAAATGTGATGTAAGCTGGCTTGGTGTGTTGTCTTTAGGTCACTAAGGAGGGCACTTAAAATGAAATATTCTCAGTATAATGTTTGGCATACAAATGGATTTCCAAAACCAGTGATTGTTAAAACCCCAAAAAGATTTAGAGCCTTGACTTATTTTTTTATGAAAACAAACTCATAAATAACCTACATCATTGGCAAAGTTTTCATTAGAGAGGTTGGAACACTACAAGAGGGTTACGGGAGGCCTTCAAAAATGAATTCCTTCAATGTATTTCTTCCTAAAGGACTTTTTTTCCTGCTCAGAGAGCTGGAAGACCAAACGTGTCCTCCCCTATCCCAGTTCCTGAGGACCAGGCCCTATGACCACCTCCCCCAGCAGAGCAGGCACGAGCCCTCCCCCATCCGAGCCCATCAGTGGGAACATGACCTTACCTCTAATTCCTTTCACGCTCAGCCTGGTCCTCGTAAAATTTTATTGTCAAAAGATTTGTCCATGAGGTTGGTTGAAACCTTGCTGTAATTTTTAATTTGTTGATAAAGCAAGAATATTGGCATGGTCCTCTTCTCCTTGATATCTTAAAAGACATTTATTTTTAACACACTCCCTGGGGAGAATTTACTTTTTTTTTCTCTTGAAAATTTTTGCTTCTGTGGTTATCTTGATCTTCTGACATTTTCTAAAAGATTTTTTTTCTGTACTTAGCGCAAAAGAGTAGAAAGAATGGTTTACTATGGCAGACATAACGTAGGGGAAAGTCATAATTTATTAATCTGACTGTATAACACCATTTTGAGTTGATATTATTGATAGAAATCTTGTCAACCTAGCCACTTAAAGCTGTATTTCTAAAGAAGGCTGGCTAGCGTCTTCCCGACTTAGTACACCAAGTTGTAGGGGAGAGACTGTGTATTTATTTTATTAAAAGCAATCCAATGGATTTGTTTTTGTCCATACTTTGAAAACAGCTTGAAGGACTTTTTCTCATTTTAGAAGGTAGAGAACATATGGACATGTCTTTTAAATTACTGTAATCTAATATATATTTATAAATTATATAGCCTTGAAACAAGAGCTCTAATATTGATGTTGTTACTTTCTGGTATTTAATTTTTATAAAAAGTTTTTGTAGTAACTAATTGTAGTGCTTTTAAGTAGTTTAAACATCTTTCTCAAATAAGTTCTACCCACATCCTGTTTACTGAGGGCAATATTCTAAACTTAAGTAGTCCAGTGTGAATTTGAAATATTCCTTCATCCCTTCAGTGTCTTTTTATATCTGCCAGTACCCAAGCAAAGTATACCAAGAGCTCAATTCCTGTGTTGCATTAATAAAGTACTTGTTCTTTATCTAATTCAGTGGATTAGGTGTAATAGATGATAGGTCTTTTCAAGTGTGCATTTGATCATAATTTTTCCAAACGTTCATTATGTTGATTTTTGGTGCATGATGCCAAATTTATCTTTAATCAGCCATTACTACCTGATATGTAATGACAAATGTTTTCCTCTCTGACCAATGGGTTGTAGATTTAACTGTTTTTCTCTGCCTATTCTCACTACATTTTCCAATATGTATGTGGAAAAAGCTGCAAAGTGCTACCTATAAGTGAGTTAGCATCTTTGGCCTTATCTATGCATAATGTTCTCTCAGTTTGGTTTTGACAAACTCGTGGACTTGCAATTGCTTTGTAGCATTTTAACTTATTGTGATGTAATGAATTTTTTGAAATGTTTATTTGATTAGCTATTAAATATAGGAAATTATGTAGCTTTGCATGAAATAAAGTACATTTCTACAAGTTCCTAAGAATTTTGCATAATATGCGTTTGATTTCATACCGTCTTTGAGATTAAATTCTTAAGGAGCCTGAAGCTTTCTTTGTTTTTTACAAATATGTTAACAGATGTTATAAACAAAATATTTTAAGATAAATAAACAATTGGACTTTGGGTTCCTAATTAAAATAAGTAATTGTGTGTTTGTTTTTTAATTTAACGTTTATTATTGAGAGGAAGAGTGTGAGTGGGATAGAGGCGGAGAGAAGGAGACACAGGATCTGAAGCAGGCTCTAGGCTCAGCTGTCAGCACAGAGCCCAGTGCAGGACTTGAACCCATAAACTGCGAGATCATGACCTGAGCTAAAGGTGGTTGCTTAAC